TTGCCTGGAACTTTTAGATTCTTAATAGCTGACAGATTTATCAAATCTGGCCAAGATTAGTCTTTCTATTTAAAAAAATCACTGTGAGGAGGGCAGGGAAGCAAAACCTATAATGCATAATTCTTCTTGATATCCTTAAGAAATAAGTCTTAAAACAATGGTGCTAGTGCTGTTTTTCCATATTTCCATCTTAACATATGGTGATTGACTTGTGGACCTTCTTCTTTGTTCTTAGTGTCTTTGAAACCCTTTCACATTTTCATATTCTGGTGACAACAGGGATCTTTTCTGTTGACTTGCTAGCAAGAAGCTATGTATCCAACACTTAGGAAATGCAAGCTTGAGAATTTCTTTCCCCTCCTTACTCTTCCTGTACCTTACAACTTCTTCTGGGAAACCCTTGCTGCAGAGATCCTTCCTGTCTGATTACACCAGCATAAACTTCTTGGGCAGGTCAGAAGGGAGCAATCTTTCAGTTTAGTGGTGATTCATGAAGTGATATATTTCCTTTGTGTATGGGGGCTGTGACCTAAATTTTGACATTTTGATTTTTACTATTCATCTGTTTTATGTGTGAAGCTTGTGTATTCAAGTAATTTCTAAACAATGTGGGTTCTGATGTTGGAATGAAACAAAAACATAGAGACTTTGTTCATTAAGTATTGTTTCTGCTTATATAGCAGTTATCAATATTTTTTGTGATATATTCTTTCCAAAATTCTACCAGAGATTGACATTCTTGCATGATGTTCTTAAACATGGTTAACGTGTCCTTCTTGTTTGGAAAGTCACCAGCATGAACATAATTTCTAATTTGGATGTGTGATGTGCTGAAGTTAGTGGAAAGCTGTGTGTGTTTTGCAACACTCAAAAGTCTTAAAATAAGCCTTTAATGTATCCCTTTAAAATAACTCTTTAAGTATCAATTCAAACAAAAACCATATGCTAGTCTATATTTGTAACTGTTTCTCATAAGACCATATGCAAAGAGATATTCTGCTAAAAAATGTAACAACAAATATATCTGTGTGCTTAGTTGCTGGGGTATTAGAAACAGCATTTTTGGTTTATTTCACTTTAGCATTTATTCTTGCAGTGTCTTTTCTGCTTACATGTATTTTTTCCACAAAGGGTACCAGTAAAGATAGTGAACAGGGTTTTTTTTTTTTTTTTTTTTTTTTTTTTGTTAGTTGTTGTTTATCTTGTAAGTAGCCCATGAAGCTTTGGTGAGACAGCCAAATGTTGTATAGAATTTTTGTGAGCCCCTGGTTCAGAAGGTCAATGTTGAAATTCTACTCCATTTTGCAAATGTATGGCCGTATGCTGCCATCTGTCTGTCCTGCAGCTGGGAGTTAATAGTGCACCATTAATGTTATGTACCAAATTGCAGCTATTTTTTGTGCTTCTGAAAAGCTGTTAAGACTTCTGGTTTATTATTTGATCCCATTTTAAAGCAGTTTTTTGTCTGCTTTGGTTCTTTGTGGGAAAGCAAATTGCAAGGCTGAAAGGTTTGACATCTCTAACCAGGTATTTTTTTCTCTCCAAAAGGTGTCATTTTGGTAATTTTTATAGAATGCAAGAAGGACTGAATTAGTGTTGTCTGTGATATCTGTCGTACTCACAACTATTATTGTGTCACCAAATTCAACAGATTTGGTACCAAATTTGTGTAGCACCAAATTTAACGTACTATGCAATGTTAATTCAAGCCAAAGCCAGTGATGTACTTGTTATTAACTGGTTTATTGTAAAACTCTTGAGACTGAATTGGGACTGAACTATCAACCTACCAATTCTGTACATTAAAGACTATTACATATTATTGTTGTGACAAAGATTGTAAAGCAAGAAACAAATTGCATAATTTAGTTTAAACCCAGCTGGAAACTAAGTACCGTGCAGATGCCCACTCACTCCCCTTTGTGGGGAGAAGTACTGGGGGGAAAAAAGCAAAACTCATGGGTTAGACAAGAATTGTTTACTGATGGGAAAAAAAAATAATAGCATTAATTATAATAATAACAATCATAACAACAATAATATTACTTAATTTATATTAATTGATAATTATTAATAATAATTGTCATGAAAATGAGAGAGAGAGAAATAAAACTGGAAAGAAACAGGACACAGCTGCTCCCCACCCTGTGATGGCTGCCCTGCCCACCCTGAGCAGTGATGGGCCCCTCCCAGCCGACTCCCCCAGTTTCTGTGCTGAGTGTGCCCTCCATGCTGTGGAATTTCCCTTTGGCCTGTACTGTTATGTTCCTGTGAGGAATATGAAGGTAATAAAATCAACATTTGTTCTGACTTTTTTTTAGGACATATGCTCTTAATATTAAGTGCTAAACTTAATACACAGGCTGTTTTTAATTAGAAAACAAAACAGAGTTTTAAATTTTGATTTTTAAAAAATGAGAATTATCAATTAACATGAATGCTTTTCAGTGAAAACTGATTTTCTTTCAAAACCGTTCCACTTCCTGCAAATAACACAACCAGGTTGTCAAAGCACCTTGATCATTACTGGTGTAGAATAAGGTACTTTATTGAATATAGGACTAAATATAGTAGGGTTGTTGTTGTTGTTAATATCATTTTTTCTTTCCAAGTAGATCGTGTTCCTTATGTTTCCAATGTAGACATTATGAAAAATTCATAACAAGGATCTGTAAACCCTGGGAAAATGTTATTCAAAACAGACTTAAATGGGGTAATTTTAAGTCCTTTTTTTACAAACCATATTTTTAGTGGTACTCACCCAGTAACTCTGTCTCAGTGTATTTTTCATGAAAATCATGTGAAAGGTATTTCTTTCCTAGTTAAGGCTTGATTCAGAATGCAGTACCTCTAGCAATAATGGCTTAAGCAGTCGCTTGAGTGCCTTCAGTGTTTAAACAGCTGCACAGTCAATTTCACTCAGTATGAAAGTATCCATCATCAGCTGGTCCATTTTGGTTAAACAGACAGTGGATGTTACACAGCCTAAATAGCTGGGAGGGTAAATCACATAACCAAAACGTGTTTCTAAATAATATGGCTCATCTGAAACTGTTTAATCCTATCTTCTGAGGCCATTGTGACAAAAATGATAATTATATTGTATTTATCAAAGCTACTGAGAGTTGTACTACTTTCTGCAGAGACTGCATGCTTTTCCTTTGTTCCAGGTCTTGTTTGGTAAATCCATGGGTAAAATTGCATTCTTTCTGCTCAGTAAATTCTGAATGTAGCACTACTTAAAGTTATTGTAAAAACTCAAGAACATATCCAGCATAAGAGTCTGAATGAGAACTTCTAGTGCTTGCAGGATTCCAAGGAGATCATCTGCCGTGATCTCCGTGAAGCTTCTTGCATCCTTACCCTTGTCTTTATCTGTTCTTCATTTCTAGATTGCCTTCTTCACAACAGCTGTCTAAGCATTCTTGTTCATGATGTGGTTGTAGCTGTCAACGCAGTGTTCTGCAGTTTAGGGATGACAGCTGTACTAAGGATCAATAGTGGATTTTTTGGTTTTTCCTACAATCACAAACTCTGCTAGTTTGAACATCTTGAACTGTGTTCTCTAAAAGGCTCCCAATTACATGTAATTTTTTTTCTCCTCATGTCTTCTGTTTACTACCAAAAAATTGTGTACTATTCTTTAATTTTCCTTCCAGTCTACCTTTTGGTTTGTTCGCTCAAACTGGCTCTACAGACTTTTCCTTCTGCCTAAGTACTGCAACTTGTTCTTTCTTTCAAGATGCAGTCAACTACTCATGCTGCATTGAAAGCATGATGAGTAAATGATGCTGTTTGAGGTTCTTGTAAATGTGTATAATTTTATCTTTGAAAATAATGCAATTTCACTGATCAGCAATTTATCATCTAGTACCAGGAACTCTCTGATTTGTGGGTGATGGAAGTCCACAGAACAGATCAAAGTGCTGTTTTGTTCAGAATGCTTGAATGCATCTTTCTGCACAAGAAAACAAAGAAAAAACATAGAAGAAGGATCTGTTTTCAGCTAACTGTATTTCAGCAATCATAATCCTTTGATATTAATCTGGATGCCCAGGCTCTCCAGCAACACAGCAATCCTCTTTGAGGATCTAACTGTCCTCATAGCACAAATGCTCCATTTATTTTTGTTTGGTTTCAGCCTCTGAAACAAAAGCTAGCCTAGGCAGTCCTTGCTAGAAAGAATATTCCTGCTGGAGAGGGACTGCTAGGAAATAGTGTCTCATTAAGTTTCCCCAAGACTTTCATCTTGCAATTACTAGAAGAAAACTCAAACAAGCTCACAACTCTCCTACACGCAAGCCTTTTAAAGTGTAATCCATTTATAAAACATTCTTGGTTGCTCCTGTTTTCTTTAATGTGGGAACCCTCTTTGTCTCATGACCTGTGAGTCTGCTTTCCATTTATTTGTATGCTTCTCTCTGAAAGTGTGAGAGGAGTTTAATCATAAATGAGTGTTCTTGTCAGGCTTTCCCGTTGCTGAGCACTCCTAAAAGCAAGGCGAGGTGTGGTACAGATGAAAGTTTAGGCCTGCTATATGAAGGTTAGTACTCTGGCCTGATAATGTTGGATGGGCTGCAGTAATTAGTGCAACAAACAAACAAAATATTAACATTTAACCTTACTGGAACCAGAATGGTTGTACCATCAGTCTATGTTATCTTGTGGTGTGATAAGAATAAATGGCCATGTCAATATGGAATATGGTATAGCTTAAAAGAAGATGAAGTTCACATTTGGTAAATGCTATTAGTAAAGCCTCACAGGCACCATTTAGCCAATCGCCTGCCACATGCTTTCCTATCCTACTGCCTGAACTGAGTGAAACTAGGTGAGACTTTTGAATGTTCAGTGCTGGAGAGAGGAAAGGCATAAGCCAAGACAGGGGCTGTCTCTTCCTTGTCTTCATTCTCTCACATTCCTCCAAATTCAAATTTTATAGCAGTCTTTTCAGCTCACCTGTCAAATTCCTGTTATTTTTATCGTTCATGTTTTTATAGATAAGGTGTGTAATCCACCTCTGTTGCTTGAAAATAAGATGCTACTCATGTCTGGGTAAGTAGGTCAAATTCATCTCTTTATGATCACTGACAATGTCTTCATGGCCCTGGTTGTACTCCTGTCAGCTGTAATGCACACGTGGAAGCACTCAAGGTGACATTAAAGATAGATGGGATAATCACTGCAGCCTGCTGCTGCACTGAGATGTGGTGCTGATGCCCCAGGTTTAGCTTTTGTATTTCTCAGATTCTGCGCTGCTTTAGTGTGTGGGTTTGGGCTTCATATTAGGGGATAGTAAGCTCTCTTCACACAATGGGTAAACAAAACAAGTCCTTCTCTAGCTGGGGCCCCAAGGACAGCCAATCCAGATCTCAGGCCCAAGATCATAAACAATGCTGGACTGAAGGGAGAAAAACAAGAAGGATGGCACTTCATGGGCTGGAGCTGTAATTGGACAATTAGCTCCAATATGATACCAAAACTTATAAAAGTGTGAGACCCCATGACCAGTTGTCCATTTTGTCACCATTTTGGGTTCACCTGGGTTGTAGCCCTGGCTGGGCTCTTGTGCTGCCCAAGGTGGATCCATTGAGGCCTCCTAATAAATACCTGCTTTATTCTTTAGCTCTGTCTAGTCTCTGTTCTAGGTCAGCCTTCACAAGGCACCAGTGCCACGGCCTTTTCAGGGCAGGTTAGCTTGCAGTGGGCACACAAGGCATCGTCACCATTCCTGTCTTTGATCTCAGGTGTGAATGAGTAAGTATTGAGACTGAACTGTCTGTCTGCCCAAGGTTCCTCCTTATCCTGGAGATAAGGAAAGCTTGCTTTGCTCTAAATCAGAGTTTTCCATCTTCAGGAAAATCAGTGCAATGCCTTGCAAAACAAAGAAGAGCTCTGTGGAAGCACATGAAGTAAATGGACTTCATAAAAGTACAGGAAGTAAATGAAGTACTTTATCAATTGCTGGTTTTTTTGCTTCATGGGTAACCTAAGTGTTTTTCTCTTTGTTCTTGAGGAAAAGGGAAAAAAATCCAACACCATGAAACAAATAATTTGTTTCATATTTATAATAATTATAGTTTCATATTTATAATAATAATTGTAAGTTTCTTAGGCCACTAGTATTTTTTTCCTTTTAATGTAAATACTGTATTGCACATGTGGTTGTCTACCAGGTGTTAATAGTCATATTTTTTAACAAAGATGATGATGGAAACAAAATATACAGAACAACACAGAGTGTCATCTATTACAAATTTTTGAGTCTCAGGTGTCTCATTGCTGCTGGTCTTACTCATTGTAGATAAATTTTCCCGTTTTAAATACTCCTAAAATACTCAAGGTTCCCTAAAACTTACTTATTTTTGGCGCTGAAAGAAGAGCTACAGCTAGTTCTTTTTTATTCCTGTAGCAAGAGGGAAACTTATCAAGGAGTCTAGAAAAGATGGTGGTCTTAGAATTATAAATATTAGTATAGTAAGTATTATATATTATATTATAAATATTAGTATAGTAAGTATTGTTAGTAAATAAATACCATTTTTTGCTAGTGGATATGTTTCTAAGTAGTTCTGATTTTCACTTCTATTTGATTTGGGTCATTTAAGTAACTGACCTTAGTCTAATGAGAGCAGAATGTGGAAAAGAAATCAGGTTAAATAAATATTAAGACATAGAAAAGTAATTAAAAGTACTCTGCTAAAAAAAAAGTGAGAAAAGGTAAAACAACCATCTAAAGAAACTGTTGCCCAGCTTAACACATCAGAACATGAATTTCCTTTCATTTGACACATTTTCTGGCAGCAAATGGCAGAAATTGGAATTAAAAATCCTTAATGGTTTATTAGCTTGGATGAAAACAATTTTCCATTAAAAACTGATAATTATATTCCTAAAATTCATCAGAGACAACCTGCATCTTCTGGAAACAATACAAAACAATCTCTGACACTAAAAGTTATGATTAAAAATTAATGAACAGTTCAAGATCAAGTAATTAAATTTCATTCTTATGTAAAAAAATTCATTACATTTACTGTTCTATTCACATATTTAAAGTTTTCTATTAATTATGTCTGTGATTCAAGGCATGGAAATGATTGTCAGTTTTTTCATTTTTTTCTTAAATCAGTGATGTTTTTGTTTGAACTACTGCTATTCAATAGAAGTGCATCAGGGAGTGATTAAGAGAGGCTCCCTTTGGTATTTCACAGAAATGGCAGAAGTCTCTTCTCAAAAGTTAGCTACAGTACATAAATCAGGAGTAATCATGTACTCCTCAGTGCAACTACATCTGTAATATCAGATTCTAAATTTACAGGGACATAGACAAGGCAATGGCTACATATCAGACTTCATTTTAAGGAAAGAAACAGAGTGAATGCAATATCTCTGTAGATCTAACTACAGATTGGCAAAATCAGAAAAAACAGTGGAACCTTTTGAAATTCAACAAAAGCAAATGCAGAGCCCTGTCCTGGGGAGGAATAACTCCACACAGCAGCACGGGCTGAGGGCTGACCTGCTGGGAAGCAGCTCTGAGGAGAAGGACAGCCAGCTGTCCATGAGCCAGCAGGGCCCTTGTGGCCAAGAGGGCAGCGGTGTCCCGGGGTGCATTAGCAAGAGCATTGCCAGCAGCTCAAGAGAGCTGATCCTGCCCCTCTACTCTGCCCTGCTGAGGCACATCTGAAGTGCTGTGTCCAGTTCTGGGCTCCTCAGGACCAGAGGGACATGGAGGTTCTGGAGCAGGTCCAGCAAAGGGCTACCAAGTGAGCAGGGGTCTGGAGCACCTCACTCAAGAGAAGGCTGAGGGATCTGGGCCTGTTCAGCCTGAACAAGACTGAGGGGAGCCTCATCAATGTCAGTGAATGTCTCAAGGGAGGCTGTCAGGAGGATGGATCCAAGCCCTGCTTGGCAATTCCCATCGGTAAGAAAAGGGGCAGTGGGCAGAAACTGATGCACAGGAAGTTCCACCTGAACACAAGGAGGAACTTCATTGTGAGGGTGGCTGTGCCCTGGAAGTTGCCCAGAGAGATTGTGGAGTCTCCTTCTCTAGAGATATTCAAAAGCTGTCTGGACACAATCCTAGCAGTGTGCTCTGGGGCACCCTGCTTGAGCAGGCAGGTTGAGCTCAGGACTCGATGACCTCCAGGGTCTCTTCCAGCCTCACCCATTCTGTGATCCACAGTGAACTTGGCAATGTGTTTACTGGTTTGCTACAAAGGAATGGCACATCTTGTCTTACCTTCAGTGTAACGTATGGACAATGCTGGTAAATACTTTCCATGGAATCACAGTCATAGAATTATAGAATGGTTTGCATTTAAGATCATATAGTTCCAATCCCCCCTGCCCTGGGCAGGAACACCTCTCACTAGACCAGGTCAGAGCCCCTCCAAGCTGGCCTTGAACACTGCCAGGGATGGGCATTTGGTAACTTCTTCTTTCACTATAGTCTCCAGAGGGTTTTCTTCCTTCCTGAAACTTTTAGAGAGGCCTTTCTTGAAATACGTTCTGTTGTTAGGTGAGGGTGCCCTCTGATGGATACTGTGAGCACACAGTCCTGGTGATTCCAAGATGATTTAGTGGGCTTAGTAGAGGTGGTTTATTTTGCCAAACAGCACAAAATAACTGCAGCAGGTAGACAAGTAACAAAGTCTTTAATTTAGAAAATAGCCACTTTCTTTGAAGTAATAATTTTGTTTCTTCATAGTATGGTCCTCTGAAAAATCTCATTATGGAAGTTTTGCTTTTGATTTCAAGAACAAATTTCTCTTTCATTTTCAAGTATAAATTGTGCAAGTACAATTAAACCTGATGGAGACAAAAATTAGTCAACATATAGGGAAAAAGACAGTAAATGTGAATAGCTGGTGTTAGACTTGGTTTAAACAAATGAATTTTGAAAAACACTTAATCTCTGCCTACATTAATTTTCAATATGAATTTATTAGCATTTATTTAAATTTTAAGTCAAAATACATATATGAATTTCATATATGTAAAGTATATCCAACTTCATCACCATTAGTACATGTGTTTTCATGTTGGAAAATGAGATAAATGCTGACATTGTTGTGGCTGTGAAATGGAGGTTTCTACAAATGCCCTTTATGACTAGAAGTATTTTCTTAATTTCCTAGTAAAACTTACTTATTAAATACATATTTGATTGTTCTCTCTCTACTCTAAAAGTGCTTATAAAATGGCAATTAAAATGTTAATAATATTTTTCATCTATCCACACTTTTCTGGTCTTTTCTATTCCATCCTCTCAAATGTAACAGATGTGACAGGCATACACAGCAATGCAGATGATTTTTCTGCTGGATGTATCAGGATAATGTGGCTGGAAAGATGCATGAAAAATCCATGTCACATCCAGGTGAGATTTTATGCTCTCATGCAGGACAAACTAATCAGTTATGATACTGAAATACTGTATTAATATTTCTATTAATATTCAAAATTAAGCAGATTTGCTTAGATATTAGTGTGCAAATGAATTGCTTAGCCAAGGTTTAAGCAAAGCAAGTTTTCCTGCAAAATATGTTTTTTCATCCACTTTGCCTTGTCTTGTTTTATTGTGAAATGGCAAAAGAATGTGGTTCAAAAGTAAAATCAATAATCAAATTGTGCAAGCATCAAGTTATCCAGTGATATTTTGCACTAAATGCTTAATTTGATCTGTCTACAGTGTTGGCTTAGTTGCTCATACTGAAACCAAACATCCAGCAATACAACAGATGGTGTAAAAATACTAGTTTTCTTAAAAACTTCTTATAGTCAACAAGAAGTCATGAAGTTCAATCCAGCCTCCTGTAAACAAGATGCATTTGTGGATGGAAATTCCATTAAAATAAGATAAACAAATATGCAAGTCTTGAGCAGGAAGTTGGAGACCACTGTTGGGGGCAGGGGAAAGAGTGAAAGCAGTACATTAATTCCCTTAATTCGAAGCAGTGTCTTGAAACAGTGTTTTCTGTGCATCCTCTGAGGCCGCTGACACTGCAGCCCAGTGAGACCTTTCAGATACTGCTTCTACATTGCTCTGGAATGGGTGTACTTCAGGAAAATTTGTAATTAGAAATTTTTACTGCTGCTTAATTTTTTCACTTTTTTGTTTTTTTTTTTTAATAGTTAGATAATTTTATAGTCCCATTTTAATTCATTAGTAGATTTTTAAAGATCTTAAGACATTGCTGAGAATAGTCCACTATTCCTTTAGTTCAAGCCACTGGTAGTTAAACTATGAGAGAGCACAGGAATCATACAGACCAACATATTACTTTCTGCAATTAATAAGCAGGTTGGTGAAAAAGCACTTCAGAACACTGTGATTTTGGCTTTATGGATAATTATTTACATACTGTGTATTTTGGGACATATATTGTCTATGATAACATTGACTCATTGCATTGAGAAACCTCTTGCAAATGGCTTATCTTAAAATACAGAATATATGATAAAGGAAAGTCAGGTGGAGATAGACAATATAATGCCAGAAAGAAACACCTAACTGGGCAATGTCAGTTGTGAAGTCTGATGGCACAATTTTTGTAGAAAAATGTAAAACTACTAATTAAGAGGAAAGGAAGATTAAAATGTTAAAATTTTCCAATGAAAATCTTTTTCAGACTGTTGAGGAAGTTGCTGATCTTGGTGCACTGCAGAGACATCAGTGAAGCAGCCCACAGACAGCAATATTTCATTACTGACAGAAAAAAGGATTGCTGGAGAAGAAAATGGGATAATTTTAATTTTCCAGATATCCAATCCTTTTGAGGAGACCATGACATTAATACAAGCATTGTGACTTTACCATGGCTGAATGCCAAGCCAAGACTTTCTGAAACCAATTACTGACCATCTCCTTTTGCTGATCATGTTCATGAATAAAAGGTTAGCAGATTATGTGGTATAATATTCTTCAGTGGGAAGTGTGGGCCGAGGGTAAGACTGTTCTGTTCTTCAGAGTGATCTATTGTAAGTAGCCAAGTAGAAAAGGAACTAAAGGACTAAATATGCCGAAAATTGTGTCTTAGCTTTTGAAGAAAAGATGCTGGTAAGAAACTGCAGTGATTTCCATCCTGTAAATACTTCCATATGGGTCATTTATATCAAGATAAGTATTAAACATTTTTCTTCCAACATCTTTATATTCAGCACATTTGTATCCATGCTTTACTTCTCTCAAGTATAAGATTAATGAGATATAAATAGTGTCATCACTGTTTTTCTTCAGGTGGCAGTGCAGCTGTTAAGAAAAATACTGATTACAAAGCCATATCCACTTTGAACACTAAGTGGTGCTATCATATTAAATATTGCAATTCACTCCCTTGGAAACAGGTTGTACCACCTGATAAACTCCATCACTTTTCAGTTGTTAGATTGCAATTACAGTTATGGTCCTGGTAATAACGATGGTATAATTTTTATTCTCATTATTATAGAATTGTGCATCACTACAACTTTGTGAAACCAGAGACCAAATAGGTAAAGCAGCTGTTGTGTACTTATTGTCTGTGCAACTCTAGCATTGAGTAATTGCAGACAAATAATGAATTGAAATAGATGTTTTTCTATAGACAGATGAAAAACAAGACTGCTGTGTAGGGATGCTTTTGAATGACCTATTTCAATTTAATATAACAAATTACATATTTAGTATTAATTTAGCATTCTGTGTTGAAAGAAAATTTATTGTTTGTATAATGCGTATTACTTTTAAAAGCACTGTCATTATTTGCTGACTACATAATATTTATTCTATGGAATATCACAGGGCTGTCTGTCCCTAAGACAGACATGACTATTCCAGTAAAATATATATGGAAACATTACAGATTCCAACATAGACAAGGCATTCAGAAAGTAATTGTGCGTCATCACTAAAATGTGGAAATGATGAAGAAAAAAATTTGGAAAAAACTTAAAATTGAAAAGGGGAAATTTCTCTTTATTTGGGTTGAATTTTGAGAGATGAGGAAAAAACCAATTTTCCTCTGCATGTGATCTCTTTCAGTTTAACATTAAATTTTAAATGCATGTAGAAATCTAAAGGATTTCATTTGTACACACCAAAATCACGTGTCTCCTTGTACTAAATTGCAGCTTCTTAGGATATATGTTATCAAATAGTGTTACATTAACAATAGTGCAGGGAATGAGTGACTTTTTTGTTTTGATTTACACAGATGTAGTCAAGGAGCTGGTTTCTTGCAGCCAGTCAGGAATAATATGGATACTGTTTCAAGCAGGTTCCATGTGGCTGGGTGCTGCTCCAAATCATGTAATGGGGAAATGTCTTAAGTGTGCTATGGAAACTCGTGACCTGCTGTCTCCTAAAATAACAGAAGTGAAGAGGAGAACGCCTTCTTGGCATCTTCTCCTCCTTGTCATGGCATGTTAATGCTACATCAAGAAAAGCGAGATTTTGGGTGAGAAAACATGAGCGCAGAAGTCAGATCACACAAGAATATTTTCAAATATGCTTGTGAGTTTTGATAATTTATTTTTCTCAAGGAGGTGAAGATTTATTTCTAAAGATTGGAAGAACAATTGGTATTACAGAATTGGCATTCTGTTTGGACAGATATGGTATATATGGAATTTTCATACTTTCTTGACAAAACTATCTTGTTTTTCCCTTCCCTGCCCTGCAAGCAGCGGGGAATTCAAGGTATTTCCAGTGATTTTAATGGTTTTACCATATGACCACAGAAAAAACCTACAGCTGTGACCTATTTATACAGCCCTCAGGATGCACCAAAGCTTTATGAACATTGGAACAACAGAATCGATGCAATGTGCCCAAGCCACAGCAGGAGGCCGTCAGGAATAGAAGCACTGATTGTGAAAAGTGCTGGAAAGCAGTTATGGTAAAGTGGTAGGCTGGCATTTTACCTGAGGGACTAAGCACTTTGACTTAGGCTTAGCTGTGACTTTAGTCGCAGCTGGTCATCTCTGAGGGGTTTAAATACACATTGTGAAAATGATGCTCCGTGGCTCTCATGCTTAGCGCTCTTCAGGTGCTGATGTTCTCCTAAAACCTGCACAGAATTATTGTCTGTTGTCCACATCCAGAAGCAAGTGGGACATATTGTCTAAACAAGAACGTAACTCCTCTGAGACACTTCATTAAGTAATGCATCACATAAAACACCTCTTCTCTCACTGAGCTGCAAACCATCTTGTTTTTTTATTGCAGGTTTCCGAGAGAGATTCAGAAGGTATTAGAGGTAGTCATCAGTAGAAAAAAACACACGTAAATGCTTTTAAAAGCTCATAAGGCAAATTGTATTATGTTACTACCTTGTATTACAGCCAAGGACACCATGATTTCCTCTCGGAAACCCGTTTAGCATTGGACGCGAATGGATGGCAGAGGGAAGAGCGGCTGTGCGCTTACTGGAACCGACCCACGCCGCCACGGCGGGGGCGCCAGCAGAGGCAGCAGCCGGGAGGCGCTGCGGGCCGGAACGGGGGACGCGGCCGCCCCTCGCTCTCCATCGGCCCGCCCCGGCCCCGGCCCGGCTCCCGCCTGTCCCTGGCGGCGGTCAGAGCCCGCTCCGACTCCCCGTGGGACTGCAGGTCGGGGCGGGCGGCTGGGGATGGCCTCCTGGAGGGAAGGCGCTGTCCAGCTCTCACGTTTCTGTCTGCCCGTCGGCAGCGGCTTCGCCCGCGGGCTCCGCGAGGGGGCGCTGCGGCGCTGGCGGCGGGGCCGGGCGGGGCCGGAGCCGGAGCCGGCGGAGCCCGGAGCGGAGCGGGCGGCACTCGGAGCGGGGCGGCGGCGCCCGGACCGCACCTACCTGTGGCATGGGAGAGGTGAGTGCGGCGTTCCGCCGGCGCGTTGGCGGGGGTCTTGCCCGGACTTGGGTCTAAGCTGCCTGGGCTCTCCCTGGAGGTGGGCTGGAGCACTTGAGTAGAAGTAGGTGGGGTGCTCGGCTAAGTCTCTTGTCTTCGCTTTTCTCTTTGCCATCCCCGCGGTATCGGAGCTTTCTCTCCTCTTTTTTTTTTTCTTTTCCTTATATTTACTTATGTATTTATTTACCTGGCATTAGTATTTGGGGAGCTTTTTCACCGACAAGTTTCAGATTCTCCTCCAGCTTAAGTTCTCTCCTGTGCATCCACTAAGGAGAGAAAATTCGTCTCACATGAAGCTACATACGAGGTCCCACTGGGTACCTCTGCGGTAACAAAGAAAACATATTTCTCCTAATTTGCTGTGAAAGATAGCTTGCTGCTTTGTAGGTGGAGCAGGGTGAGCTCTGGATGGAGGATTTTCCTCTGTCATCATGTCCCCTTGGTTGCTAAGCAGTGGTGACCACATCTGTGAAAAGATGGAAGAAGCACAGAGGAGAGAGCAACAGGGAAAGCCAGGAAGAACAGCAGAATCTCCTCTCGGGCAGCCTTATCTGCTGGGTATTCTTGTAGAGAATTAAAATTAATGCATTAATCCTTCTTACATGCCTGTTTCTTTAACTCTAAACTTTTAGCATTCCAACTTATAGTTCAGGTGCAGCAAAGTTATTTCGTTCAACCAAATTGGTTTGTCATGACTTTTATACAAAGAGAAGTCATTTATAAATAAGTGCACTTTGTGCTTCCTGTTAGTGGCGCTGCTTCAGCCTCAAGAAAAAAAAAGTCTTGATAGGAAAACAAATGATGGGAATAATCCTTACATGAAACTGTAAGGTGATTTATAAAAAGAAAGCCTTTAGTTACAACAATTAATTTCAGTACACTTTCCCCCTCCTTTTGTAAAATCAGATTGTGCTGTTGAACTTGAAGACGCCGATGTATTCTATGTTTCTTTGTTCACCAAAATATATCTCATAGTTTCTGGATTGAAATAAACAAACTTCTAGTCTGAGTGGGATGCAAAAAGAAAAATTAAGTAGTGGAAGGATAGATCTAATATTATTTTTCCCAGTTGAACTTGTTGATCTTGAGCATATGAGTTATTAACAACAAAAACCTCCATACAAACAATAACAAAAAAAACCAGCAATCAACAAAAACCCCAAACCAAACCAAAAGCACCCACCAACCCCCCCCCGCCCAAAAATTAGTGTTACTGTATGACATGTTTACGATTTGATGCATAGCACCACAGCACCGTTTAAGGTGAGAATTTTCATATGCAGTGAAAGGCAGTTCTGATACTGCCATTTTCATGTCATTTGTATGTTTGCCTAAACGTTTTTCAGCTTTTAAGTGGACTGATAATTTACTTTTGTTAGAACTGGATTAGTAGCTGCGTTGTTGTTGCTGTCTGCCAAGCGCAGCTGCTGTGGGCAAACAGGAGGAATCCATCCTGGCGCTGATCCCCCTGTGGGAGACACAGCGGCTGCTTGGCTGCTCCTGATGGAAGAAGGGTGTGTCAGGGTGGGAGCAGAGCTCTGGGTGTGCATCTCTCACAGAGGGTTGGGAGGGTCAGAGCTGTGTACAAGATGCTGCGAGAGTTGCCAAGGGCCGTGCTGGCCATTGGCACTCCAAGGGCTTTGATGTCACCCACCTCTTCGCCCCACTCCATCCCTGCCTTTCTCTCTGTTGGGAGTTCAAGAGGATAGTTTCATGTAGGCTCTTGGTTTTTTCTTCTTCTTATCTATATTTAAAAATACTGTGGCTTTTAACTGGCCCTCTAAAGGTGTATTTAGCGAAAGTTTATACAAGTGCAGACTTGATGAAAATACAATTTTTGTGTAAATCTGATAATTTTATGTTACTCCTAAGAGACACAAAAGTAAACATTGCCCTTTCCATATTTAAAATATTATTTGGTGTTTGCAGATGAAATTCAACAGAGAGAAATGGAAGTGGGTAAAACAGGTTGTTGCTTTTAAAACTGCATACATCAAAAGAAATACTAAGTGCAGATAAATAGTATGAGACATGAACAATTTTCTGGGCTTTTAAACAGATTTTGTTAGCCTAAGGTTTTATTACCAGCAGTGCAGTATCGATATTGACAGCTTTTGCCTTCAATTTTATCATAAAACTTGTTTCTCTTATTTGAGGCAAGGATGACGCTTTGAGGTAATGTTGAAAAACGTTGTTTTTTGCCCTTCATATAAGTAAATTTCATTTCTTGATAATACATACTCACTTCTAATAAGTGGTGATAGCATGTAAAATACATTTCATCTTAAGCCAGTCCAAAGGAAAATACTGTACCTGGATCTAATCCTTCATGAATATGTGTCCTCATTTAACTATCTTTTGCAGCATGTCCTTTGGGACTGCACAAGTGCATATAATCCAGAACACATGGAGACAGAACTGGTATAATTTAATCTTCAAAAATGTTTTCCTTTCCTGTTGAAATAAATTGTAAACTCAGCCCAGGACAAGGATGTATTTATCAATAATAATCACAGATGTCATGCTCCATAGAGAGGGTTGAGTCATCCTCAGTAATGAGTGATTGCACTGGTTGAAGCAATTGTGTTCAAAGCACACTGTCTGCTACCAGGGAAGATCTTCCATTAATTGTCTTGTTACTCTTGTAAAAGTTTCTGTCAGTGTTAACTAGTTGATGTCTAACAGGAAACTAACTCTTTCTCAAATTTTTAAGTACAGGTTGCATTTTCCTGTGTGAGGTAATAAGTTCAGTATAAATAGTTTTCTTAAAGTTGTGGAAGGAATCCATTCTAGAAGTTTGGTATTGAAGCAGATGTTTAAAAGAAAAATTAAATTTTTTTGGATGCAGTTGTTGTGTACTAAACAAGGCCCCTGCCCCCAACAGAAATTTGAATATATTTTCATATGTGAAAAGATAGATTTAATACAGTTATTTCCATAGAAGCTCTGTCATGTTTCCTGTGAGGACTGGGCTCTCTTTGAAAATCTCACCGTGAAATTCGATTCAACAAGTTAAGTAAGGAAATTCAGCAGTTATGCTCCACCAAGCCTCTTTTGTGCCCTTTTGTAATGTATTTGTGACATATATTAAATTGGAGTCCCTTCTGTATCTAAAGTTTTAATTTATTCTTGGGTTCTTACTGTGTTGATGAAACCAGCGATGTATAGATTAGGCTGGTGTTTCTTTAGCTTGAAACTACAGCTTTCTCAGATGATGCATTTGCAGAATCATTATCTAATGTTATCCTGTAAAATTCTTGTTTGAAGTTGCCATATCTGAGTGGGGCCTGAGTGCCAAGAGACCTAAAGTGTCCCTGTGTGTCCTTGCAGTGTTACCTGCTCTGCAGAGGGGCTGGAGCAGTGTCCTCTAGCAGCTGTCCCCTGTGTGCACGCAGGGCTGGGCAGTGCTGGGGTCCCTCAGGACTGGTGCTGTGCCCGGGTGCTTGCCAGCAGGCAGAGATAGTGCCATTTGTGCTGCACCCAAAGCAGGACCTGGCAGGTCTTCTGTAGTTTTTTTTCTGTCTTGGGTGCTCCCAACACCTCACCAAGTTCTGGGACAAAACAGGCAACCCCTTTGCGTTTGTCTCCCTGCTTGGCTTTGTGTCTGGACAGCTGTGATTCACTGAACACATAATCCTGATATGAAAATGAGTAGATAATCAGTGGTGATATACTACAGGGAAGAAATAACCGAATACAAGCACAATCTTGACACTCACTTTGATTTAATTTTAAAGTGCATGTAACTTTACAATGCTTTTATAGATACTGATTTACCTTGCAACAGTATCATTGATAAGGTGGGGGTGTTTGTGCCTTAAGTGTGAAATATGAAATCCTACTGTGTTCATTATTATATCTTCAGGTTTCCTGAATGTATAATATATGTCTTAGAATATTTACGACATCCCTGGGAAGTATTTTGCCAAACTATTTTTACTGTGTATAAAAAACTTATATACCAGGGGTTAGGCTTTTACAGATTGTATAAAGGCTGCATCTTTCCCTTCCTCCTGTCTTTGCTGTATTTCTTTTCTTTCCACATTTCCTTTAGTAATCCTTGACTGTTTCACACCTCACCTCCCTTACCATAGCCACCCTTTCCTTCTGATGTACCCCCCAGCTGCCTCCACCCTCTGCACTGATTTCCCTCCCAGGTGAGACCCACTTGTTCTGTTCTCATGCTGCGTGTGTAGAGGAAATGTTTGATATTTGATCAAACAGCAGCCAGGAAGGAGCTTTCTGTTTCTAGTACCCAAATAATGAATGTGAATATGCTTCTTAACCATCTGGCCTGCTCAGCTAGCATGCAAATTCTTTATAATAATGAGAAATGTGCCTTGTGAGCAGCTGGCCAGCCAGAGAGGAGCTGTTTATTTTGAAGGTGTGCCACCTAGCAGGGACCTGCCCTTCTTTGCCCTTAATCCATCAGTGGCTTCTCTGGGACCTGCTGCCTGGAAGCTGCACGTTTGCTCAGCTTTGGGATTGTGGGTGTTCAACAAGGGGTGTGTTTCTATGTGCTGGCTCAGCTTTTGTATCTCCACCCTGATTCTGTCTGGAAACCCTTCTCTTACAGCAAGGTTTACATTGAAAAGAGAACATCAAAGGAAATTAAATAAATCAATTTTTTTTAAAATATGCAGTACCTTCAGTGCTTTTAGGATGCATAGCCAGATTAATTGGTACAATAAGAGACAGAAGGAAGCATTTAGAATGTGTTTATCTACAATTTGTTTATAAAGGCTTTGCAGCATTCTGTTGAAGAAAACCCCAAACCTTCTGATTTGCTACAAGTTTTTCTGTATTTATTCATCTGGTGCACAGGGTGTTATAAGGTTTTGAGGTTTTTTCCTACCTAGATGGTTGGGGAAGGAGAGGGTCATTATCTGAGAACTGAATCACTGGACAGAGTATTTCTAGTGTTGGTTGTCTTTGATTACATACAGGCCAACCAGGACAGGAGGAGGGAGAGAGGAGGGGTGGAACAACTGGCACAGTGAGGTGGTACTTATTACAGATGAAGGCACTACTTAGGATAACATGTCCATACAAGGTCCAGTGGAAACAAAGGAACTTCATACTTGGAATCACCTCATATTAAGGGTAACATGAAGGTGACTGCTTTCCATATAAATCCATCAAAATCTGAGAAGTCTTTATGACAATTAACACCTCAGGTTCAGCAGTCAGAGGAATCTCATCCAAGATTAGAGCCCCTTACTAGCTAGGACATACTAGTTTTCATAGTGTAGTTTGTTTTTTTTTCCTTCTATCCCAATCAAAAGACAGTTTCTTTTCTGTTAGAGTATTTCTGCTTTGAGACTTGGACTCCAGCTTTTGTGTAGAGCAGTGGTGGTACTGAGTTGTGTCAAACTTCTGTTGATCTCCTGATCTGTCCTAGAGGATGTAAGAGACCTTGACCTCTCCCTGCAGGCAATCCTGTTAGGTACAATAGCCTTGATCAACACAGCCTGGATTTCTTCCAGAGCCTCCACAAGAGATTTCCAGGCATGTAAATACATGACATAGTGGACTGCTGTGTTAGATAAATTTGAGTTCTGTGTTGTATACCATTTCTGTTAAGAAAAATACATTAATGAACTTACATTTGGATTCAGATCCTATTTCTTGGAAGCTTAGTTTTCTTTTTACAAGTCAACTGATGTATTTTTAAGGAGTTAATACATTTTTCCCTTGTTAAAAAGATTATACAGGTCTTTTTATAAAAAAAGCTCTTGACTTACTCTCAAGTTATTCACTTCATTAATAATATGAACCTCAGTTTTTGTCAGAAAACATAATTCAAAATTGGAGTGATGTCTTGCATGATTTTAAAGAATTTATAAGGAAATAAAACCAATAAGAATTTTTATTATAATTTTATTTTATGATCTTTATCTCTTTCAAGTGATATATCAATTACCAGTTCTTTTTGTTAGACAAAGACTGTCATAGGCAAGAAGAGGTTTAAAATGTTTTAGAGATAATATTTGACAATATTATATAGAGGTTTCTGTGACCTACTAAAGACTATCTTTTTAATTAGATTAAATAAATTGAATGAAAGAAGAGGCATTTTGTCTCAACCACCTAATAGCCATGATCGCCTATTTTGTCTTTCCTTCATTCTCCTTCCATCTGGTCACTGGAGGCATATTTTATTTTCTTATCTTGTTATATCCGTGTCCTTTCACTAAATTCAATCAGAGTTCTCTCCTTTGTAGTGAAGATACTACTTCATGAATGATGAAAAAAAAAATTAAAGCCTTCAGAAAATAATAAAAAAGTATGATCTTCAAGTTTTTCTGTTAAAAATCTGTTCTCAGGCAGATTGAGGACAACGTTCCTTCTATCTTTGGACAAATGTGTCAAGTGACAGTAGCTTAGTACTTTGCAAGTAATTTAAGATATATAAATGTGTTTACCAGCAAATCAACTAGCCACAAAATCCTTTTTCATGGTTTTTGCATCATGGTGATGGTGATATGTGCTTGCTGGGATCTTTTGGATAGAGATGGGTGTTTAATTGAAGAAGTCTCTAGTAACTGTTTTTCCAAAAATGGTGTTTTAATGCCTTTCCTCAGTTTCTTTCACATTGTGAATTTCCTGGCTCTTTTTTAAAAGTTTTAACCTTATGTTTATAATGGGTATGTATTCACTTCTAGCTTTAGAAAGTTGTACATCGGTTTGCAGACACTCTTTTTTTCTTAAACTCATAGAGCTTTGGTTTTGGCTAAGCTAAAAAGACTTATGTACTCTTCTGGAAATCTAAGTGATGCAGAGAAGTGAGGGGGAAGGAATGCAGGCACTAACTAATAGGATATTCCCCTCTCCTGATGAATACTTGATTAAATTATTGATTCCTACTCTATGACTGGGAAGGAAGAAACACAGAAGGTTTTGAAATTGAATGTCATTCCACAGTGCTGACAAAGTACAGTGGCTCTGGTGGTCTGGACTGAAACAGCTGTTTTCCATTTGTCTGAAATAAAAAATGGCAGCATATTATGTAAAAAAAAATAAGAAAATTACTTTTTAAAAACAAACTGCTGCACTTTAGATCCTGCTCTTCTAATGACTGTTTTCTGTGAATGCCTTGCAATTCTGTTTTATGTTTCACAACAACAATATAAATAATCACTGCAGTTCAGGTGAAGATTCCCTTGTTACAGGGGACTGTGTACTATGGCACATGTGTTAAGAAAAGTTGAATGCCTACAGAGAGGAACAAGATTAGAGTCAGTTTTGGTTGGGTTTTATGGGTTTTTGGGGCTAGTGAGGGAGGGAGTGCTCTTACACTCTGTCCCCTATAAGCTCATGACTACTCCTAGTCACTGTTGCTGTAGGTAAATTTTCAAACATCTGCCTGTAGATGCCACCAGATATTCATCTGGTGCTTTTTTGTGCAAAGTAAATGATTATCAAGTGTCATTTCTGAAAGGATTCCTAATGCCTCTAGATTTTATGATGAACAAACACTGATGACTATCAGGCCATCTTTGGACGTTCCCTGTGCTGATCTTGCAGTAGTAACAAAAGTGAGACTCAGCAAGTGCTTTCATGGTGGGAGGTGGGGCCTTTGCTGGTCGGAAGGGTTTTTAGCTCTCTGTGCTGGGGACAGGGCCAGGCCTGGCATCAGGGGCACGCAGGGACATCTCCCACCCCATCAGGCCGCTCAAAGCCCTGTCCAGCGTGATGTGCTGAACCACCCCCAGGTCCAGGTGGGTTTGTTCAGAAGGGTTATCAATCACTGCGTTCAAGGCAGGTGATTCCAAGCCAGTAGATGGTTCTGTGACTTCAGAATAATTATTACTGGCTGACACTTTTCTCTGCAGTTCTTTTTCTTTTACCAAGTGGCATGCCCTGATAAGGCAGTGTGAACTTGGCAGATTTTTTTAATATAGGTATGCTGCTAATAAAATGATTGCAAGCAATTTGAATATTTCGCAATTTACAAAACCTAGGGCAATAAAACTACCAACTTTGTCTCCTTATATTTAATCACTGAGTTTTTAAGCATGCTTCGGGAAAATATGGATATCTGGCATTCTAACCTGAGGTGAAAAAGAATTTTTTTTCAATTGTTCAGTATGTTGTTAGTGACCAGAAGAGGAGATTGAACCAGAACACTGCATTTTTCTTTGTCTAAAGATTATAATGAAAAAGGTCATAGAAGTCTATCCTTTTCTTTCTGATCTTCAAGAATCTTTTATACTTAATTGCTGGATGTTACTTCTCATCGTACAAGCAGTGAAATCCTTTAAAATGGATTTTCAGTCAGGTAAATTGGTTGTAAAATGTATTTCCCTGGCTAGATTCTAGTATTATTAATGGTAATACTTCATTAATAATTGTCAATATTTCAGTATTTTTCAGTAATCCAGTGTGATATAGTGTTTTACTGCTGCCTCTTGTTCATTTTTCAGCTGGCAGTTGGTATCAGCCAGTGCAGTCTTAATTTTGAAAATCTAAATTTAAATGCAGAAGGTAGAACATGTTCAGTGGGAAAAAAAGGGTAAAACATGTTCAGTGGGGAAAAAAACAATTATGAACTTAGATTAGTATTTCAGAATTTTCTTCCCTTTTTCATTCAGCAGGTTTTGTTTTCTTTTGGAGCATACTGTCATATCTGTTTA